GTTATTGTAATAAAATGTATAAATTTCCCCCAAATAAATAAACAAAAAAAAAAAAAAAACAAATAAAAGCAATATTAAACAAATATATAATAAATCAAGTAATAACAGATAAACAAATATTTAAAAAAAAAAGAAACACTACTGTTATTAAATTACAAAAGTAGTCATTTTTTCTTCTTTTTTTCTTTTTCATTTTTTATTTTTATTTTTTATTTTTATTTTTTATTTTTTTAAAAATATTTATTGCATAAATTATTAATTTATTTTTTAATTATTTATTAAAATTTTAGATTATTAAAATTTATAAAGTTTATAAGAATGACAAATTTAAAAAGAGGAAATGATGAAGCTTTAGAAAATGACTATTTTCGGGAAGCAGAAAAACAATTAAATAAAAGAAATAAAATAAATAATAATAATATTAAAAATAGTAATAAAAATAATAATAATGATAATAATAATAAAATTAGAAATGGCCATGTAGTAGAATTGGATTTTGTTGCTTTTTTAAATTATGATTCGTATGGAAACGAGTTTGATATTTTTTATTGTGAAAAAAAGAATAAAATTTTAATAAAAGTGTTTCATCAATCGGAAATTGTCATTCAGCAGTCATAAGGTGCACAAATAGTAATAAAACATCCACTGAATTCATGTCATTTTGTATATTTTGTAGTGGTGGGTTGTTCATAGTTTCTGTAAATAATCAAAATTTAAAATTAATAATAAATAAAATTAAATAATCCATTCTTTTTTTATTTTTTTAAATTAATTTTTTCTTTATATTTTTAAAACTTTCATCGTATATAATTTCTCAATTAATGTTGCAGTATTTTTTTTTGCTTGACAATAGTGCATCGTTGTTATTTTTTTATTTTTTTATTTTTTATGAATAGTAACTTTTTTTAAACATTATATAATTTAAATAAATAAAATATTGATTAAAAAATTATATTGAGCTAAGAAATAAAAATCATTTTGTCATAATCATAATCTAACTATATTTCAAATATCTATACCTAAAATTCAAGTTATCGAGATTACCGAGTCCTAATGTTTAGAAACCACTATATTAAGGTTAGAATTTAAAAAATTCAATGTATTCAAACAAATTAAAGTGATTATCAGAAGTAGTTTCAGTTATATTTTGATCTAATTTCTTTAATTCAAATGCTGTTAAAGAATTTTCAAAGCAATTGCAAAATTAATATTTAAAAACAAATTTTAAGAGGCATTGGTTTTAAATTTGAATAAAAATATTAAATAAAAAGGTATTAAAAACTCAGTTTATTAGGTAGTCTTTACAAATAACCAATTACTCCTACTACTAAAAATTTTATTTGATAAAATATTATCTCTTACACTAATAATATAAATTATATCATGAAGAAAGATTTTTTTTTAAAAAAAAAAAGAAAACTTAGATAATGCCAGATACCCCCATTTAAGGACATCTGAATTATCTTGAGTGTCATCTTCATTTTCGAAAATTATTTCCTTACTATTTTTCCATTGATATTAATTATAGTTATTTTTTTTTTAAATTAAACATTGTTTTTTTTTAAATTTTTTTTTAAAATTGAACATTGTTTTTTTATAAATTAAAACATAGATATGTTTTCAATCTATAAACTTAAAAAAAATCATAATCAAGCTTTTAATTCCGAATAACTAAATTTATTTAAAGGTAATATTCATAAGAAGGTTTAATAAAAACCATTTATTATTTATTTTTTTATATTTATCATAGATGAAGATTTGAGAACTAAATAATCTAAACATAGGTCAACAGCTACTGAGGATTTTTAATTTTTCACAAATTTCTTCTAGAAGTCTACATATAATAATATCAAATTGTGCTTGATTAATCCTTTTCAAGGCATTGTATGTCTCAAAATATATAATTTATTTTATTTGTTTATAAAAAAAATTATTTAACACTTGTTAAATTTTCTAATCTAATACCAAAAAATTAAATTAGAAAAAAAAATTTAATTAAAATCTTATATTGACTATTTTTTAGTAATTAATTTTATTTACTTTAAGATCATTATTCACATTAAAAGTTAAAACATAGTATATATCCTAGTTAAATAAAACATAATAAAAAAAGCAAAATCTGATAAAAATTATTTTTAAAAGAAAAACAAAGATGTAAAAATACAAATTGAAATATTTTTAAAAGAAAAAGAAAAGCATAGATGGAAAAATACAAATTGAAAAAAAATTCATTGGGGGATGACAAAATATACCCTTCTTCAATAATAAAATTAACTTAACTTTATTAAAAATAATGAGAAAAAAAAAATTTTATGAAGATTCCAAAAAAAAAATAATTAAAAAAAACACACATTATTTTAATAAAATTTGGTAATTGAAATTATATGTATTTTAACATAATAATTAAAAATTAAAATTAAAATAAATAAAACGTTTTTATTTGTAAAAACAAATAAGCATAATATATATTTAAAAACTCATATGTAACTAATTCAGGAATCGAATCCTCACACGTGAGAATATAACTGATAAATTTATCAGTTTTGTTTTTTAAACACACTAATTTTAATTAATTTAATTAAAAATATTTTTTAATTTTTTGTTTTTGTTTTTTATTACATGAATTAATTTTTTTATTTAAATTTATATTGTATTTTTTTGTCTTTTTATTATTTCTTTATATTCATAAAAATGAAAGTCATTTTATTACTATGTATTTTAGCTTTGCTAAAGGCAGCAAATGCTGCAAACGGTGTAGATGTCTCTTCGCTTGTTTCCACTTCTTCATTTAAATGCTTAAATACAAATGGTTATGAATTTGCAGTTGTTAGATGTTTTCGTTCAACTGGTAAATATAGATTAAAAAAATTATACAGTGGCTTCTTTCAAAACAAATGAATATTAATTTATAAATAAATATACAGGCACAGTCGATCCAAATTGTGCAGCTTCAGTAGCTAATGCTTTGGGAGCAGGAATGTCAAAGGTTGATGTTTATATGTTCCCATGTTATTCATGTGGTAATGGTGGAATACAAGCTTCAAAATTGGTCAGCTACTTAAAAGAAAATAGTGTCAAATATGGTAAGATTTGGATAGATATAGAAGGTCCTGGAGTATATTGGGGTCGTAAGTTTAAATATATCATTATTTTAATTTATAAACATTTTATTAATTCTTTTTTATAAAACGAAGCAAGCACAAGCGATAATGCAGCCTTTTTCCAAGATATGGCCAATAGTTTAGAAAAAGAGGGAGTAGATTTCGGTGTGTTCACATCACCATCGCAATGGGTACCAATAATGGGAAGTTTTGAAGGTGGATCAAAATTCCCACTATGGTATGCTCATTATGATGGAGTTCGATCATTTAGTGACTTTTCACCATTTGCAGGATGGTCAAAACCTACCATGAAACAGTACTATGGAGAAGGCACCTTATGTAATGCAGGAGTTGGCAAAAATTGGTATCCATAATAAATTTTTTTGCATTTTTACTGTTTTTATCCGCTGGATGGGTTATACACAACGGTACACCTAATGCGAATAATACAGCCACGGATACACCATCATAAGACAGTAAAAAAATAAAAGAAACATGGTTTTGCTATTAGTAAATGATAATATAAATTTATTAATTATTAATTAACTCTTATATAAGAGTTTAAATGTTTTATTTTTTAGATAGAGAAGTATTTAATGTTGTTTTTGAGCCAGGTGTTATGACAACAAACCATAGCTCTATTGTTACAGTAGTTATTATATTTTATATATACTATCTGTTGTTTTCCGATTTTCTTTTTTTAATCATTCAATTATTTAATTATTACGTTTTATTTTATTTTTTTCGTATAAATTTAATATAGACTTTATTATCATTATACTTTAATAAACAAAAATGAGAAACATTAAATAAATAATTATATAAACTAAAAAATTTATTTTTCAATTGTTTTAAAAATTTTTTTTCAATTACGATAATAATATTCACATGAATAATCAAATGACATATAATAATTATAATAAACATATGAATAATTAAAAAAACAAAAATAAAAATGAAAACAAAAATTATAATAATACCTGTAAATTTGTCTGAATACTTGTTGAATTTAGACATTGTAATCTTGATGGCTTTAAAGTTTAGTATTAGATAAGTTTGAAATATAAATAGATTATGATTTCGAACCAATATATTTAATCAAATGTTATAGCATAGATATTTGCAAGGATCATTCAAAGAAATTTCAAAATTAATATTTATTTATTGAAAGATTTAAATTGGTTTTAAATTAGAATTAAAAAGTTAAATTAAGAAAGTATAAAACCCAATTTTTTTTTATTTAGTTTTTTTTAATAATCTAAATCTTTAACAATTAAACTGTTGAATGCAATTGGTATACAAATGTTTTCGATCATTATAAAGTTTTGATCAGATGATTCAAGAGTGACAGTTGAAATTTCCCAAAGATATCCTTCTGTTTGCCTATAAAGACTTGATGCCTTAAAATTTCCAACGTTTTCAACACAGCTTTGAACAGAAACTGTTGCTTGGTATGTATGGAGTTCTAAATTACCAATTATCATTGGATTTCCTCTTAAATAGATTTAAAATGCTCTTGGTTTTCTATCATATGAAGTAAAGGTTAATTGATAGCTTAGTTTAGATTGAGATTCGAATTGTAAAGAACCAATACCAGTAAAAAGCATTTTCGATGGATTGAAATTTCAGTTTGGACTACGATTATACAAATAGTTTGTGGGAATCAATTTATTTAATGTTTTACCTTCAAAAGAAATTGTTTTTGCAGTTCCTTCCTTCTTATCATAATCTTTACCATAAGAAAAAATATTATTTCCATCTTTTAATAATGAAAAACCATATACAAATGGGAAGTCTTTTAAAAGAATAATAGACACCATTAATTTTGCTAATTGGACCAACCACCGGTGATGTTTGAATTGGGTGTTCTGCACCGTCATTATTACCATCATCATATGCAAGACCTAAACCGTATTGTTCCACTTTCTCTCTTTGTCTTATTAAGTAGTTTGAAGAGTTGACATACTTCATATAGGGTAACCACTCAGCATAATTTATCTGCATAAAAAAGCTGTTTTCTCTTGTGGTGACTTCAATTAGTTTTCCTTCATATGCATACATATTTTTCCCATCCAAAAGAGTAGCTATTTGATGGATATCCCAAGGTTTAAAATATCTGCCATTATTTTCTTCAACATCACCAATAATTTCTGATAACGTGATCTTGGCATTTTCCAAAATAACACCTTTTGGAAGACTATAAGGGTCGATAGCCCACCAAGTGTTTCTAAAAATAATAAAATTTAGTAAAAAGACTAGGGTAGAAAATTTAGTTTATTTTTTGAAAAAAAGGGGTTTCTAAGTTCGGGGTCAATAAGTTCCATTTTTAAAGCCAATTTCTAAGTTTTAGTTTTTTTTTTTATTTTTCTAAGTTTTATAAACAAAAAAAAAAGTGTTTAATTTAAAAGGTGTTTAAAAATCAATAAAAAAACAGTTAAATCATAATCAATTAATATATATAGTAATGTGTGGTTGTTTCCCCCTTTTATTTTTTTTTTTTAATTTTTTTTTAAATTTTTTTTAAAATTTTTTTTTTTTTTTATTAATATACATAAATATTGTTAAGAGGATTTTTAAATATATTTTATTACAATATATTAAGTGGATAGTTTGTTTTCTCGATCAACAGTTATATAATTAAGCTCATTATTTAAAATTAAAAATAAATAAATTTAATTTTTTTTCTATAAATACTTCAAAATTTTTATTTATATATCAATATCAAAATTTATTAATATATATAAAAATATAAAAAATTATTATATTTTAAAAAAATAAAAATAAATTAATAAATAATAACATTAATAAATATAAAATTATAAAAAATAAATATATTTTAATATTAATAACTTAATATCAATGGAAGGAACAAATAAAAGACCTATTACCAGAAGAAATTCAATTGAAGATCTGACAAAAAGCTATCAACATCCCTATAGCATTAGATATCATTTTACAAATGGTAATATGTATGCATATTATTATTTAATTTATTGATTAAAAAATTATATACTAATATCTTATTTTTAATAGATGGTAAATGTTTAGCAGCAAAAAAATATAGAGAAAAAAACAATCTTTCAAATGATACAATAAATACTTTAGATTATCACTTTGCCAAAGAGAGGGTATAGAGCAACTATGATGAACCTTTAATTCAAATGCTTATTGAAGAAAAAAAGAAACAAATACATATTTAAGTATAAAGAAATCCAAAAATACTTAGAAGAAAGTTTAGATCACAGAAATGATACAATAAAATATTGGAAAGAAAATAGTATTGAATATCCAACATTATAATCAATTATAAGAAATGTTCTTTCAGTTGCTTCTTCTTCCGTTGAAATTGAAAGAACATTTTCGGGTGCTAAGTTGTTGGTTACATGTAGACAACAGATCAAATTTGGGTTGGGAAAGAATAGAACAATGTGTGTTATTAATGGAATGGTCAAACATTTCAAGAGTAGATATTGTCGAAAAAACTCTGTCTTTAATAATTATTCAAATATTTCAAAAATGGAATGATTAAATAAAATTGTACAAGAATTTTAAATTTTTTTCATACAAAAAAATAATGTAATTCTAAGTTTTTTTTTTTTTAAAGTTTCTAAGTTTTTAAAATGAAAAAATTAGTCAAGTGGGTGGGTGTGGGAGTGGGGGAAACTTAGAATTTTTTTTTTTTGTCAAACTTTGACTAATTTTTTTCCCTACTTAATTTAGGAATCAGCTTCACTTTTAAAAAAAAAAAGTAAGGAACAATGATTTTTAAAAATTTCTTTTTTGATAAATTAAAATCATTGTTGATTTTTAATTGTTGAAGATTATTATTAAGTAACTATCAAATGAAAACAAGGTATAAATATTTAGGATACAGTTAAAAAATTATGATATAGCATAGACTATTGTATGGATTTCAAAGAAATTGCAAAATCAATATTTGTTAATAGAAAGATTTAAATATGTTTTAATTTAGAATAATTAAAAAAGTAAATCCAATTATTATTTTTATTTGATTTTTTTTAATAATCTAAATCTTTAACAATTAAACTGTTGAATGCAATTGATATACCAATGTTTTCGATCATTATAAAGTTTTGGTCTGTTGATTCAAGAGTGACAGTTGCAATTTCCCAAAGATATCCTTCTGTTTGCCTATAAAGACCAGATGCTTTAAAATTTCCAACGTATTCGACACAGCTTTGAACAGAACCTGTTGCTTGGTATGTATGGAGTTCTAAATTACCAACAACCATTGGATTTCCTCTTAAAAAGATTTTAAATGCTCTTGGTTTTCTATCATATGAAGTAAAGGTTAATTGATAGCTTAGTTTAGATTGAGATTCGAATTGTAAAGAACCAATACCAGTAAAAAGCATTTTCGATGGATTGAAATATTCGTTGGAATAGTACATTTTATTTGTTGAATGATAGTATTTTTGAGAGTCCACTTGGGTTGCACCTCCTTGAATAATTATATTGGCATCTATAATGTCTTCATCGACAAAGCACATAATTACACCATTCACCATAGCAAATCCTTTTCCTAATCCGTTTGGACTACTATTATACAAATAGTTTGTGGGAATCAATTTATTTAAAGTTTTGCCTTCAAAAGAAATTGTTTTTGCAGTTCCTTCCTTATCATAATCTTTACCATAAGAATAAATATTATTTCCATCTTTTAATAATGAAAAACCATATACAAATGGGAAATCTTTTAAAAAAGAATAGTAGACACCATTAATTTTGCCAATTGGACGAACTACAGGTGATGTTTGAATTGGGTGTTCTGCACCGCCATTATTACCATCATCATATGCAAGACCTAAACCGTATTGTTCCACTTTCTCTCTTTGTCTTATTAAGTAGTTTGAAGAGCTGACATACTTCATAAAGGGTAACCACAATTTAGCTAAATATATCTGCATAAAAAAGCTGTTTTCTCTTGTGGTGACTTCAAGTAATTTTCCTTCATATGCATACATATTTTTCCCATCCAAAAGAGTAGCTATTTGATGGATATCCCATGGTTTAAAATATCTGTCATTATTTTCTCCAACATCACCAATAATTTCTGATAACGTGATCTTGGCATTTTCCAAAATAACACCTTTTGGAAGACTATAGGGGTCTACAGCCCACCAAGTGTTTCTAAAAATAATAAAATTTAGTAAAAAGACATAATAAATTAGGTTGTTTTAAAATATTACACTTACATTAGTTTTAATACATAAGAATCAGCCCAGTTAGCAAATATTATATAGTGATTAAGTTCTGTTTTTCCTTCAACTTTATTTGAATCTATATTGTATCTTAATTCTTCATAAGATCTAAAGAGAGAATCTGAAATTTCCTTATAGTATTGGCTCTTCATTTCAAAAAAGTAATTTGGTTCCAAAAAATGAAATATTGCAGAGTTAATTCTATACCTTTCTTTATTTTTATATACTGAATTAAGAAAATGAATGTGTGAATGTGCAAACAATGTATACATTGGGAGTTGGACAAAGTTATTTTTTTCATCAAACAAAAATTTTGTTCGGACAAAAGCTGTATGAATGGAATCAATTTTGCTTATTATAGCATTGGAGTCAGTGATATTCTGCCATTCCGAATTTTCGTAGCTAATAATTGTTTTTTCTAGTTCTTGAATGATTTCTTGAATACTCTCAAAGTTTTTGGTGGTATATTCAAAAAATTTGTCATTGATTTGTTCTTCAATAAGGTTATTGATATCGAGAATTAATTGTTTAACCAGATCTTTCATCAATTTGGCATTTCCATAGCTTAATCCCATATCAAAAATCGTGCTAAACCCAGTACCAACATATGGAATCAAACCTATTGATTATTTAAAAATGGTAAGTATAAACATAAAGTTTTAATATAGTTGTTTAAAATATTTAATGCTTACCTAACAAGCCAGAAAAAGCACCAAATTTATCAAAAATACTTGGAGAGAATGTATCCTGAGCACCAGCAATTGCTTTATCTAAAGCCTCTACTTTTTGTTTGTTAGAGATTTTTAATTGATCTTTAATAAAATTTTCATAAAATTTTGAGTTTGTCATATCATTGGAATTTTTTGAAAATACCAATACAATTAAAGTAAATAAAAGAAATAATTTTAAAAATAATTTCATTTTTTTAAAAAATTTTTAAAACAATGAGGAATTTTATAAATGAAAAAAAAAAAATTAGTTATTATTTATAATTATTGAATATTTTAATAAAAAAATTAAGAAAAAAAAAAAAACAATTCCAATAAATTTTTTTGCGGTCATTCTTTAATAATCAGGATTGAATTTTTTTTGAACGTTGGTTAATGTTGATATAAAATAATTGAAAGATATAGAGTTTTGAAAATAATTTGATTATGGTAGCGGCATGTCACTATTTTGTCAAAATACGGATCAGTGATCCATCATGGCAGTTCTTTAATAATCAGGATTAAAAATTTGATTTTACTATAATTTCCAATAGTTTGTAATGATAAATTTTAAAGTGTTTTTTTTTTGTTTGGATTATAGTTTAAAAAAAATCTAAATCTCTGAATGTCATAACGTAAAAAAATTTAATTTATTAATTGAGAAATAATTTTAAATAAAAAAATTTAGTTATTTAAAAAAAAAATGGGTTATGTAAAAAAACAATCAATTTTATTTTTATTAGGTTTTATGTCCAAAGAAAAAAACAAATAAAAATTAATTCTCAACTTTTAAAGAAATAAAAGATTTTTTTTTTTTTGGACCGTCTTTTTTTTTTTTTTTAATTTTTTTTTTTATTTTTTATTTTTTCTTTTTTTGTTTGATTTTATCACTTGGAAACTAAAGAATCATATTTATTTTTTAATCATTTGATGCAATCAGTTGTCAAAATAGAATCATTGTTAAAATATATCAAACTAAAAAAGAAAATTATTATCAAAAAAAATCATTATTTAAAGATTAAAAAAAAAATGGTAATTATATTATTTAATCATAGTTATAAAAACAAATAAAAAAATAATGATAATTAAAAAAACATATTTTTATTTGTTTTTAATATTTCTTAATATTTATTTTATTCAAGGCAATGATGCTGTATTCAATAAGTTCCAAATTCCTTTAACTCCTGGTGGTTATTGGGCAGCTGGTTCTACTTTTGAAGTAGGTGCATCGCTTAGTGTAGGTTCCATTCAATTGGTTTTAAAGAATACCGGTTTATCTCTCTTAGTAGATGGTGAAACAGTTTGGTCCCCATATAGCTTTTTGACTCCTAACGAAAATGCACTCTTTCAATTTAACCAAGATGGTGAGTTTTTTTTATTCCCCAAAAGTGGTTCTCCACCTGTATGGCGTTCAAATACTTATTCATTAGGAGGTATGTTCATAACATTTAAAATTAATCATCATATTTCAATAATATACTCACACCACTTTAAATTTTTCATTAGGTTCCTATATTAATATTCTTCCAAGTGGTTCTTATGGTCGTCAATGGTCAATTATAGTCCAAGATATTGATGGGCAAATGGTTTGGGGTAGATTTGGACCAATTGTTTCGAGTGATAATGTTATTCCATTAATACCAGGTAGTTATATCGATAGATTAAATACAACCATTAATAAAAATTTTTTAACCAATGGTAGATACTACTTGAGTATGGGTCTTAGCCAAAACACATCCGAAGCCGTTGGTTTTTACCATGGTAACCCTATTGAAGTTTCAAAGTCATCACTTTGGTCTATTTCGAAAGATTATCAAGAGGATAGCTATTCACTATTCTTTACAGAAGATTCAAAAGTATGTGTTGGTATTGTTGGTGAAGAATCACATAAATGGTGTACTAGTCATAATGTTACAGCCAACCAAAGATATATAGTTGTTCCTTTAGAAGGATATGAAAATATCCCAAATGATGATGGTTTTTGGTATGTATTTTATTTTTTTTATTTTATTTCAGAAGAATTTAGGTATTAACATTAAAATTATGTTTATAGGTATTGGGTTGTATTGTCAAGTGATTATAACATTTCTAGTATTGTATCAAGTAGACCATTACCAGTTTTTGACACAAAGTCAATTCCATTAACTTTTAAGGGTTCTATTCATTCTTCAAATGGATATATTAATGTTGGTGACAGCTATACAGTTGGTAATACAATATTATCAATGACTCAAGATGGTATTCAGTTATCTCATAAAGGCCAAATAGTTTGGAATCCTTTTACTTTCTCAAATTCTGATGTCAATGCCTATGCTCTTTTTGGTACTGATGGTAATTTTTGCATTAAAACAAGACTTGAAGGTTGGTGTACCAGCAGTCATAACCTTGGTGGTCTATATCTCAATATTTTACCAGAAGGTTCATATGGTCGTGAATGGGGTATTGTTATTCAAAATACTCAAGGTTTAATGGTATGGGGTAGATTTGGTCCAGCTATTAACAAAAAGGGTATTATGCCACTCATCCCTGGTAATTTTATCGATAGATTAGATCCAGCAAACAATGTTTTATCAACCTTCATTACAAATGGTAAAAATTATCTTTATGTTAACAAAGAAAATGATGCACTCAGATATCTCCATGAATGTTCATCTGTATGGTCAGTCAACAAAAAATCAAGCGATTCTTATCAATTATATTTCCAAAATAATTCAAATTTATGTGTTGGTGAAATCAATGGTAGTTCCAATTCTTGGTGTAATGATATAATTAATTCCGATCAAAGATATGTTGTTGTTCCTCTAAATAATGAAGAAATGCCTGAAGAAAATGGTTTTTGGTAATTAATTACATATTTTTAATGAAAAAATTGAATTTAAACTAATTATTAATAATTTTTAATAGGCGTTGGGTCACTTTAAATGACTCTAAATCAATAGTTTTTAATATAACTAATTTCATAAAGCCAGTAAATGATTTAAAGTCAATTCCACTAACTCAAAATGGTTATTTACAAGCATATTCAAAGTTCGGTGTCGGTCATTCTATTACTGTTGGTAGTATCAAGCTTCAAATGACCAGTACAGGTCTTCAATTATTACATAATAATGTTGTTGTATGGAATCCTAATCCAACACTTGCTGCAAATGAAACTGCGTTTGCTGAGTTTGGTATTGATGGTAATTTATGTATTAGAACAGAAAAAGGTACTTGCATTAGCAGCCATGGTCTTGGTGGTAAATACCTCAATGTATTACCATATGGTTCATATGGTTATAAATGGGCACTTATTATTCAAAATAGTGAAGGTTTAATGGTATGGGGTAGATTTGGTCCAGTCATTGACTTTAATAGTATTCCACTCATTCCAGGTGGTTTTATCGATAGATTAGATCCAACAAATAATAAACTTTTGGTTGGTGGTAGAACTTTTATTACAAATGGTCGTGATTATCTTTCAGTTAACCAAAAAACTTTTGAAGCAATGGGCATTTATTCAAATAGTAATCCTTTTAACAAAATTGATGGAGATTCAATACCGGTTTGGTCAGTAAATAGAACAAATGTTAATATCAACTATCGATTATATTTCAAAGATGATTCTAATTTATGTCTTGGTGATATCAATGGTCCTCCAAATACATGGTGTAATAATATACTTTCAAAAAATCAGAGATATGTTGTTGTTGTCCCTCAAAATACATATTTATCAAATAATAACGGTTTTTGGGGTATCTTTGTCATGGATGGAAATAAAAATATAACCGATATACTATCAAATCAAAGGGAACAAGTATTTAACAAAAACAGAATTCCATTAAGTATAAATGGTTTTATTGAAACAAAACAAAAAATCACTACAGGTAACATTATTTCTGTTGATGGTACTCTACTTTCAAAGACAATTACTGTTGGTAGTATCAGGCTTCAAATGACTAATACAGGATTACAATTATTATATAATAATGACATTGTATGGAATCCTTTCCCATTATCAACTTTAAACGAAACTGCTTTTGCTGAATTTGGTCAAGATGGCAATTTATGTATTAGATCAAAAGTAGATTGGTGCACAGCCAGCCATTCTCTCAGTGGTAAATATCTTAACATATTACCAGATGGTTCATATGGTCGTAAATGGGGTATAGTTATTCAAAATAGCGAAGGTATAATGGTTTGGGGTAGATTTGGTCCAGCAATATCAGATTTAGGTAAGTTACCTCTCATTCCAGGTAACTACATTGATAGATATGATAGTTCAAAAAGATTCATCAGTGAAAAGGGCTTTATTACTAATGGTCGTGACTATTTATCAATGAACTCAAGAGAATTAGAAGCACTTGGTTTTTATTTCAATTATAACCCAAATAATTTTATCCTTACTCAAGATTCGGTTTGGTCGGTTAATAAATCGAGCAATTTAAATTATTTATTATATTTTAATGATATTAATGATAAGTTATGCGTTGGTGAAAAAGGAAAAGAGTTAATCAATACCATTTACTGTGCAGATTATTTCCCAAACCAAAGATATGTAGTTATTCCACCTCCACTCAATGAATATAATGAAACATTTTATAGATGGGTTATTTTAAATGATAATAATCAAGTTGTTTACAGTTTAGCAAATCGTATTGAACCAATTTTTGATCAAAAAAGAATTCCTTTAACAACCAATGGATATTTAAAAGCTGGTGATGTATTAAAATACAATCAAAAACTTGTTGTTGGAAAAACAACACTCAATGTAAGAGGCGATGGTTTTGAATTGTCACATAGTGGAGTAGTGGTTTATAACCCACTTTCTGTAGGTAGTGAAGATAAAAATGCTTATTTAGCTTTTGGTGTTGATGGTAATCTTTGTTTTATACATAATTCTAAACCTATTTTCTGCATTTACTCTCAAACATTAAATGGTCAATATCTTAACATATTACCAGAAGGTTCATATGGTCGTGAATGGGCAATCGTTATTCAAAATAGTGCAGGTTCAATGGTATGGGGTAGATTTGGTCCAATTATCTCTGATACAGGTATTATGCCACTCATTCCTGGTAATTTTATCGATAGATTAGATCCAACAAATAACATTCTTACCAACTTTATTACAAACGGTCGTGACTATTTATCAATGAACTCAAGAGAAATAGAAGCTATGGGATTTTATTATAAAAATAATCCAAACAATTTTGTTACACCAACCTCTTCAGCATGGTCAGTTGGAAGAATGGATAACCAGAATTATAAATTAGAATTCAGTAGTTCTGCTAAAGAATTATGTGTTACTGCAATAAATAGTGATGGTGAATATATTTGGTGTAGTCCAACTCTTAAAGAGAATATCAGATACTTAGTAGTTCCTCTTCAAAACAATCAAGTTCCACAAGATGACTTATACTGGAGATGGGTTTTATTATCTGATGATTTTACCGATGTTTTTAGCATTTCACAAAAACCACCACTAGTTTTTAATCAGCTTTCTATTCCATTAACTAAAAATGGAAATCAAGGTAGAGGTCGTTTTACATATCTTTCGGTTGGAAATACAGAACTATTAATGACTGATGGATTAAGAATTAGACATGAAGGTCAAGTTGTTTGGAGTCTTACCTCTAATCATGAAACTAGTTATGCTCAACTTCATGTCGATGGAAATCTTTGTATCACTGACATTAATGGTGTTGATCTTAATTGCACATTTACTCAAGGTCTTGGTGGTGAATATGTTAATATTTTACCAGAAGGTTCATATGGTCGTAAATGGGGTGTTGTTATTCAAAATAATGAAGGTAAAATGGTATGGGGAAGATTTGGTCCAGTTATAAGCCAAGAAGGCAATATGCCACTCATCCCTGGTAGTTTTATTGATAGATTAGATATTAATAACAATAAAATCTCCCAATTTATTACAAATGGCTATGATTATTTATCAATGAACTCAAGAGAATCAGAGGCAGTTGGTTTTTATAAAAACAATAGTCCAAAAAATTTAGTTTATAAAACAAACCCATCCTGGTCAATTTCAAGAAGTGAAACCAATCAAAGATTATATTTCGATTATATAAACAATTTATGCATGGCCCCAGTTGGAAAAGAAAATGACCCAAATTGGTGTAACGATATAAAAAATAGAAACCAAAGATATGTTATTGTTCCATTACCTGGTTCAAATCTTCTTCCAAACGATGATGATTTTTGGTATGTGTTTATTCATAATTTTTTAAAAAAATATTATAAATAATATTTATTAACAATATTATAATTTTTTATATTTAGGGGTTGGATTACTTTATTTGATGATAAGGGTATCGCATATATAGCATCAAATAAAAGACTTCCAGTCAATAGTTTAGATTCAATTCCCTTAAGTCCAAATGGTAATATTGAAACAAATCAAACTTTAACCGTTGGGTATAAAGTAACTATTGCAAATATGATACTTCAAATGACTTCAAGTGGTTTACATCTATTACTTAATAATGAAGTTGTATGGAGCATTACATCTCCCATCGCAAATGGAACTGCTTTTATTGAATTTGGTATTGATGGCAATTTATGTATTAGAACAAAAGAAGATTGGTGCACAGGCAGTCATAGTCTTGGTGGTAAATATCTTAATGTATTACCAGAAGGTTCATATGGTCGTAAATGGGCAATTGTTATTCAAAATAGTGCAGGGAAAATGGTATGGGGTAGATTTGGTCCTATCATCAACACAGATGGTATTATGCCACTCATTCCAGGAAGTTATATCGATAGATTAGATACAACAAATAATATTTTAACAAATTTCATTACAAATGGTAGACACTATCTCTCAATGAACCAAAAACCTACCGAAGCAATTGGTTTATATTTCGACAGAAATCCTTTCAACAAAATTGATTATGAACCTTCTAGAGTTTGGGGATATGTAAAAGAAAATTCTTCGCTAAATTACCAATTTTATTTCAAAGATGACTCTAATTTATGTGTTGGCTCTGGCAGAAGTCTTGCTCCAGTTTGGTGTAATAATAAATTAGTAAATGGTAGATATTTAGTTCTTCCAATTGATAGCTTTGGCTACCCAATTGAAACCGTTGCAATTTGGCTTTTACTAGATAGTGACAAAGGAGTTGTTGATCATAGATCAAATATAAATCTTCCAGTCTATGACAAAGATTCAATTCCATTAACTCCCAATGGTCATATAGTTGCTTCCAATTCCAATTTATTAACTGTTAATTACAATATTAAAGTGGATGATACTGTATTATCATTTACTAATAGAGGATTCAAATTATATTACAAAAATGAAGAAGTTTGGAGTCCATATAATTTTTCTCCATCAAGTTCACTTGTAGCTTTTCTTAAAACCGATGGTAATTTATGTGTCAAATTGTCGGCAAACGATCAGCTTTCCACTTGGTGCACTCTCAGCAATGGTTTTGGGGGTCAATACCTTAATATTTTACCAGGAGGTTCATATGGTCGTAAATGGGGTATAGTTATTCAAAATACCCAAGGCTTAATGGTTTGGGGTAGATTTGGTCCAGCTATTAGCACAATTGGTATTATGCCACTCATCCCTGGTAACTATATCGATAGAATGGGTTTATATACAAGTTTAAACTCCACAAAGAATTTTATTACCAATGGTCGTGACTATCTTATGGCATCTCATGGAGACTTTGCAATGGGTCTATATATTGATACCAATCCACATTTATATCCAAATAACAAAACATGGTATTTTAGTAAACCAACACCAACCTCAACATATAATGTTATTATCCAAAGTGATACAAATGTTTGTATTAACGATATTAATACAAATACAAATATATGGTGCAATATGGAGCATGGACAGTCACAAAGATACATAGTCATGCCATTACCAAACGATGAACAAGGGTAAATATAGATTTTTTCTTTATTATTTAATTTATGAAACATAATTTTAATTTTTTTTATTTATTTTTTTCCAGCGGTTGGGTAACATTAAATGATAATATGGAGCTAGTTTATTCAAGAGTTGTTTTCATTCACAGTTCAATCTATACTGACGGTAAAACTCAACCATATTTACTTCCAGCACAAGGTCTCAAGAATTCGTTCACCTCACTTTCTTATAACCCTGGCACCCTTATCTTTACAAACCTTTTAAACAACAAACAATTAAAAAGTTATGTATCCTCACAAGAAACTCTTCTAAAGCCAAACTTTAATGGTTATGGATATAGTATAATTAGTAAAAACTATTTTTCTTTTTTTGCTGAATATGCAGATTGTGGAATTTTAAACTGTCTTTGTAAAAATACATACTTTAGTCTTAGAGGAACACCAGAAACACTCGATAGAGGTGATGCAACATTTATAGGTTTTAACTCATTGGTACCAGAACTTCTTTTGGTTACAAGTAGTGGTGAAAGTCTTTCAAATACAAAATTCTACAATATATCTCATTATTATCCTAAATACTATATATAGTTAAATAAAGTTTAAAATAACAATCATTTTAAAGATTAATTTTATTTATTTTTTAAATTTTAAAATTTTTGATAGAATTAAAAGTAAAACCAAAAACAAAACATACATGAAAGCCAAAACTAAAATATTGTCATTCTTATAAGAATCTTTTAAATGGAATTGATGAAGGACATCGGAACCAGTTGAGATTTGACAAAATGGTTTGAAAACTATTTTTTCTATTGATGAATTAACAGGAGTATATTGGATTGGGACCTGAATTAATTGATTTTGAGTACAATGGAATTTGGCATCATCACCCTCCATTTCATTAATTGTAAGAGATTCTACCATATATTTAGTAATTGAAATGTAATTTAACCAATTAAAATATCTTGGAATGTCGTCTTTTTTAATAATAAAACCAGCAAATAAACTGAAAATTGAAAATGAGATTCCAGTTATTTCATTGGCAACACTAAGAGATGGACTGACCATACCTAAAAGTTGGGAGAATGATACCAATACTTGTAGATAAATGTAATAAGTGAAAATAAAAAATATGAATTTACTTGAATCGCTTTGTAAACCAACAATCCAATATATTGGAGCACTGAATATTAGAGAGTAGATCATTGTGAATGGCAAATCGGAGATGATCATTGCAAAGATATAACTGAGATGTCTATATGCATTTGAATCTATTTCGTGATAGAATAGATATCTATCTTCAAAAATACCTGGTATATTTGATAGACAAGAGATTGAAGCAAAAGTTGATGTGAAAAATATGAAGCTTATACGATTAATTACTCCGGCTTGGTCATCACCAATGTTAAGATAGAGTGTACCTGTGACCATTGATAGTAATAATGATCTTGCAATTCTTGTGAAAATAACATTCTTTCTTCTAAAGGAGCAAATAAAAAATCTACATAGTAACATCCAAAACTGAAATAAAAACGATGTTGCATTTTTATCTACAAAAACTTTACTTTTGAAACCAATTGGTAAACCGCTTTCGATGATTTCTAGGTTATTTCTATTTAATTCTGAAATTTTATAACAATCAATAATATCGGTATCATTGTCAAAATTATTATTATTATTAATATTATTATCAATATTATTATTTTCAATATCTTGATTATTTGAACTAATAATTTTTGATCTAATTGATGGAATAATTTTATCATGTTCTTGTAGTCTTTTCTTTGAGTCAAATGAAGCTGAAAAGTCTAAAAGGAAATCTGCAACATTTTTATTTTCTTTACACTGGTAACCTAAATCTGAACAATAATTTAAAATAGTTCTACAATTTGGACCTAGTTCACCAAAATATGCCATAAAACCACCTTGAGTTAATAAAAGTACTGAGTCAAACTTCTTAAAAATGCTTTCGGATGGTTGATGAATTGTGCATATAACAGATTTGCCATTAAGAGTGATCTTTTTAACTATGTTCATTATAACCTCTGCACTTTTAGCATTAAGGTTGGTGGTTGGTTCATCTAAGAATAAAACGAATGGATCACTAGCTAATTCTACACCGATGTTTACTCTCTTTCTTTGTTCTTGAGTTATACCATGATCTTGCTTACCAATAATACACGAAGCAATTGAACGGAGTTCCAAAACATCTAAAATATATTCTACTTTATTCATTTTATCGTGGTATTTCATTTCTCTAGGTAGTCTTAATAGTGCTGAAAATGTAATTGCTTCTCTAACAGTTTGAAAATCTGGAAGTTGGTCCTCCTGTTCGACATAGGCAACATAACGATTGAAGCATTGGTCTCTTGGTTTACCATTTAATAAAATTTCGCCAGTGATAATACCTGTACTCTTTCTATTTGCCAAAATATCTAAAAGGGTTGATTTGCCAGCACCACTTGATCCCATTAATGCTACCAGAGTACCTGGTTTAACAAACCCACTAATATTATCTAAAAGAGTTCTATTAATCTTTATACCATGTCTCTTTTTAATTATTACTTTATACGATAGGTTTTTGAAAGTGAAATAACACTTATCCATTGTACTATCGTTCTTATTGTTTGCTATTTGTTGATTGTGATTTTGTGATGGGGAAGAAGATGGAGATGTAACTAATTTAATTGATCTATTATTGTTTTGGCTATTACTATTTTTTTTATTAATCTTTTTATTACTACCAACATTATCAAATCTAACTTTTGATAAACCAATAATCGAAATTAATGAAAATAATGAATACATTCCAAGTAAAATATAGATTGAAAATTTCCTATACTCACTATCGGCTCTAATGTCTTTTGAAATCAAAATCTGTTCTCCAGTAGTAATTGGACAAACTTGGTGACCACTAAAACCATTTGGGTAGCTAATATTAATTGAGGGGTAGAATGATGGTGGCATAAGTTCTAATGGATCGCATGTATATATTTGACCTATAACCTCGTTGATTAAAATACTTTCATAAACCCACTTGAATGGCGATATGTAATGCATCCATATCCAATATGGACCAATTGCACCTTTTGGGATCATATAGCCAGCCATTAATAAAAACAAACTAAAGTATAACGGTGCGAGAGTACTAGCAATTGTTGCAGTTGGTGAAAAAATCGAAACCATCTTTGAAACACGATTAACCAAACAGTCTAACAAGTATATTTGGAGTATAAAGAATAAAAATCTTTTTGTGGTTGGGTTTAGTCCAATTAACCAATAGGAGATTGATGAAAAAATAACTACATCTAACATATTCCATATTAAATCTGAAACTAAACCAGAGAAGAAGTATGCAATACAATTATAGTATTTACCCATCATTTGATCGTAAAAGGTTGGTCTTTCAGTGAAAAGTTGATGAACACCCGCTAGTGAACCAAAAACTACAAAGGTTAAAAGAAAAAAAGATAATGATGGTATTAAATTTGCTGATTTTTGGCTTGAATCCAATTGAAGAAAAAGAGTTCCAATAATAGTTCCTAATAATGAAGCTTTAACAACTCTTGAAACAATGGCGGGTCTATCTCTAGTTGTCATCAAAAATACTCTTTTTAAATTTAATATTATTTGATAAAACAATGATAACTTGTAAATTTCATTGTCATCACCAATAACCAATTGATTTGATAACAATATTTCATTATTATTATTAAAATTATTATTGTTGACTAATTTTTCTTGACTAACTGTAACTAAAGTAGTTTTATAATATTGCGATTGTTTATAGGCAATAACAAAATCAGTAGTTGTTTTTAATTGACAATCATTATTTAACTGAGCTAAATGGTATATACTTGAGAGAAATTCTGCTGGATTTTGTTTATCGTTACATTCTAAATTGAATTGACTGAAATGTTCAAAAACCCTTTCTTTTTCTTCAAAGAATAAACACTGGCCATCCTTCATCATAAGAACATGAGTAAACAATGAAAATATTTCTGGTGATGGTTGTAATAAAGATATTAATGCTGGTACATTAGCAATTTTAGAAATCATTTGAATTGAATGCAATAACTCGAAAGCACTTGTTGAATCTAAACCACTAGTACAATTATCTAAAAATATTGTCGAAGCACCTTTAACCAATTCAACTGCAATTGTCATACGCTTCTTTTGACCCCCAGAAATACCTCTTATTGCATGATTACCGATCAATGTATCTTGAACATGAGTTAAATTTAAAATTTGTAAAATTGTATCGCGCAACTCTTTTTTATTTTCATTATTTAAATTTGATTGGCAATTAATAGCGAAATCTAATGTTTCTTTAACAGTAAGAGTTGCTGAAAAAAAATATTTATTAATAAATGTGCTATTTTTTAAATTATATATTCATTTTTGTTACTTACGAATATGATTGTCAGATTGTTGAACAAAAATATACTTTTTGTGATGGTGATCACTATCAATATGTTGATTATTGAATAAAACATCACCTTCAATAAGACCACGACTTGGAATTCTGTTTGTTAAGCATTTGAATAATGTTGAAACACCTGCACTTGGGTCACCCAATAATAAAACCATCATACCTGGTTTTAAGTAGAAAGAGAGATCTGACAGAATCTCAACCTTTTCTTTTCTTGAAAAGAAACTTGGTGATTCCATAACACTATAATCCATATGATCAACGAGAACAGTTTGTCCATTTGATGAAATTGAACTAGTTAATGATAGATACTTTTGAATTAATTCTGTTTTTTGTTGTAATTTTACTCTATCATATAAATGATCATTATTTTGAAAATTGCCAAAATCATTATCATTACTTTCGAAAGGATCTGGAATACCAGAATTATAGCCATTGATATGATCTTGAAGAACTGAAGAAATATCCAAACTATTCCTAATTGTACCAAAAGAATCCTTTAATGAATTGATAAATTTCTTTCTTAAAGAACCATTTTCCTGTTGATTATATTCTGGTAATTGCGATGGTGCTTCTAAATTAACCGCACCTTCGTTTTTATTATTATTAAATGATCTTGATAAGGTATCAAGAAACTTCATTTTATTAATATAAAAAAAAATTGTTTAAATTATTATTTATATATTTATTTTTTTATTTATTTATTTGTTTGTTTGTTTATTTGTTGATAAAAATAAAAATAAGTAAATTATTTTGTATTTAAATATTAAAAAAAAAACCATTATAAATTAAATTAAATTTAATACTAACCCTAATTTAAATAATAATAATATGTGTTTAATATAATTTGCCTCATTGTTTCTTAAAAAAAGTGTAAATATTAAAAATAAAAATACAAATAATTATTTTTTTATCATCATTTGATGGAGGTAAATATGAGAAATGTGGTTAAAAAAAAAAAAGTGCGAAAATTTTAAAAAAATTAAAAAAAAAATTAAAAAAATTAGTGTGAATTATTTTATTACATATATATACATATTAATCTTTGTTATGATTTAATTAAAATTTTTCATTGAAACACCGCCTCTGCTTCCACCAAATTTAGACTTAAAGCTTAACATAAAAAGTCTTAAATTTGTATTTTTCTTATAAGCAACAGCGAAAATGGAAATAAATAAAATAGTGGCACCGACCACCCCAACTACCACGGCAACTGGAATGACCCATTTTCTGTTTGATTTGGTTCCTACTGGAATTCCACATTCATCATACACAGTTTCATCCATGTTGACATCCACAAGTACTGAAAAATCTGGGTCTAATTCGGCATAATCTTTAAAGAATGGAATGTTGACTTTTACCTGAACTGTTGATCCAAATTCTAAGCCTTCATTTGATGTTGAAACTATTCTATCATCCAAAATTAAACTATTTGAAAATCTACCATAGAGTTGTAATTGGTTATTTGGTAATGTTACCCAATGCATATCAGTTGATTTTTTGGCCCCCCATGCAATTTGTTGTTTTATGGCACATTCTAAATCAGAGTTTGGTGATGTTTGATAAAACATTTCTAGTTTATTGAGATTTGACGAGAATGTATAATTATCAATTCTAACTGAAAATTTGATAGAGTTGGCTGGGATTGCTAAATGTTCGTTGGCCCAGGTCATTTGAGTATCTGTTTTAAATATATCTACCCTTACCGTGAAATTTGAATATTCTAATAATGTTGTATTGAATGTACTTGATGTTTCACCATTTGTTGATGCTAATGACCATCCGGTTTCATTAAAATTAAATCTATTTAAAACTTTACCCAAAACATCCACCTCTTGAATATAAACCAACTCGATATGATATTTTGATTTTTTTGTATAATTATTTAAATTGAATGAATCGAATCCATCCAATATAACTGATGGGGATGTGATACTAGTGTTCATATTCATGGAGATATTTGAATTTTTAAATTCGCAAGCGACACCAGTAAAACCAGGTTTGCAATTACATGTTTTATCGGTACTACAAGAACCTTGGCCATTACAATTATCTTTACATACAAATGTTTGATCGATTGAGCAATCTGTACCACCCCAACCTTGGCTACATTGGCATGTCAATGTTGTCATATTACATTTACCGTTACCACTACAATCATCTTTTAAGCAAGTGTAGATAAATACACTATAGACTTTTGAACCAACCTTAATGTCTACCGGCTTTGTAAGTTTCTCTTTCAAAATATAGTAACCACTAGTTTCATTTACATATGTGAAAGGTGCCGAAGTAAATAATGATTTATCTTGAATTGCTGAATCTAAGAGATTTAAATTAATACCATAAAAGTAAAGATTTGAATCATACATTTTTGTTGAGACCTCGGTTATTACTGGCTCTTTAAGGTATTGTGTATATAAAAAGAGTGAACATGTATCGAAACGTACACCATCTAAATAGCCATCTTCATAAACCAAATTATAAACGGAACAGTGACCTAGGGGAGTTCTACTACCAAACATAAATGGAATTTCTAAATTGCAACTAAAGGTTGTTGAATTTTCAAATTGTTTTAATGGACATGAAACTTGATCATTTGAATCTATTTCGGTTATATAAAAAATTGGATCTGATGCAACAATTGATTGTTTAAATGGTAATGATTGGTAGGAGATATCAATTGAAACTTTAACTTTACGATTTGATGAGCTGACATCGATGTAATTTCTAGAGAATGTAGGTTTACCGATAGTTGCAGAACCGGAATGTGGGGTAAGAGGTACACCATTAAAAATGGTACTAAATTTGCTATAAGGACCAAGCTCATAACAATTGCTAAAATGATCACAAATTGAATCTATAAAGAGTTTATTTACATCCACTAGTGTACTTGGTAAGGATAAAACCAAAGTTGATGAAGTTTTTGATAAATAAGTTTTTGGATCGGTGGAATCGTAGTGAACATATAAAGCATATGGGTTGTATTTGTTTTTAATGACAAATGTTATATTTTTGAATAAATCCATTAATGATGAGGTGAATGTAATTTGATCTTTGGTTAAAACGAGACTATATACTGATGAAAAAAAGTCAATAGCATTAGGGGAATTTTCATCATAGTACTTATTATTTCTGATAGTATATTGGGATGAAATAATTGAAGTTGTTACGGTACTGCTTTGGGCATTTGTGTTCATATATTCCAATTCTTTTGTAGATAAAACATATTTGGAATTAGGACTTGATAGTGACGAAACTCTAATTGAAATGAATCTCTTAAGAGTTTGATCGTTGTCCAAAATGGTTTCACTAATCGAGAAGCCACAAACAAAAGATGATGTTTCTGGGTAAGTGATAATTTGTGCGAATCTTTTAATTTGAATTGGTTCGCCAATATTATCATAGTTGTCATAAACTAAAATCTCAAAAAGATATTGGGAGTAATCTGCTGAATTGTCACTAACAAACCAAGTATTTAAATTGATATTCGAATAAGCGTTATTGTAAGAATAGGTCAAAGCCAAAAGACGTAATGGGGGAATATTTGTGTTTGTACATGATTCTAAGCCAGAGTATAAGAAACTGTTGATCAATGAAGATTCACCGCTATCATATAATCTATTGCCCCTAATATCTGTACAATCAATAATTGGTGGGGAATTACAAAAGTATCTATTAAATTTAAAATTGAATTGATATTGGACGTTTGAAAAGTTTGGTTCAGATATACTGAAAATATTTGATGGTAAAAGGGTGAATGTAGTTGGGCCAAGACTAACTTTACAATTTGGTTTGATTGATGAGATACCAATAGAGTCGCTAACTGTTATCACTACACTATCTGGTTTCTGGGTTAAATCTGAACTGAATGTAAAAGCTGAGAAAACATTTGGATTTACATAATCTCTTTTAAGCAATGGACTATTGATAATAGATGTTGGAAAAGCGTAATTTGGGTCTGAATTAATTGTAGAGCCTGGGGTATCGGACATAAAAGGAACTGATGGTTCATAAGTTAAATTATTGAAATAATTTGTATAACCAAATGGATAATTTGATTCAATATAGACATCGTCATTGTATCCAGCGAAGAATGTTGTTTTATCTGTAGTATAATAAGACATTTTTAAATTTGGTATTTGGTAAATATCTTCGCTCATTAGTAAGCGACCTTTGAATGAATTTAAAAAGAATTTTTTGCCATACTGTAAATTCATTTCTTGATTTGAAATAGTGTTTGAAGTGGTTGTTGCTGCTAATGAAGCCATGTCAATGGTAAATTGTGAAATTTCATACCTTCCAAAATTTTCACTATTAACATTTATTTTTAATATATTAGCTGTTTTAGTGATAATTGTATCTGGGATATAAATAACCTTTTTGTAGATATTATCAACAATTTCTTTATCGCTATAAAATACAACTCCATTATATTGGAAATCAATTGTTGCGACTTTGCCATAGCTATTTACATCTGGTTTAACTTCAACATAAAATTTAAGTTGGCTATTTGAAACATTCTTTTTTAAATTTACATCATTTTCTACAAAACTTGATAATTGAACAACTTTAACGCCGTTAAGATTTGGGGTAAAGGATATGGGAGTCTTTGTAAAAACATTGGTTAGTCCCTCGGGAGAAATATTTAATGAATATGAATTTAGTTGAACATTTGAGAGTCTAACAAAGCCAATCCATTTACCAGATGAGAGTTTAATTGATGTTGGTTTTAATGGTGCAGAATTAAGTGTTGCTGTTGCAACCCTAAATGAAGTTTTCATTGCAACATAGGTAAATGAACTTGAACCTAAAACAACCATATTACTTGGAAGTGATGCATCAACGTTTGAATTGCATGTTAGAGTTGCACTGATTAATGATGTTTGACCAGTTATAGCGTCAAATAGAGTATATGAGAAGGTAGTTGGAGTTGTACTGATTGGATATTTTGATAAAAAGTAAAATTTAGTTATATCAGAGGTTGCTGATGTTTTAATTGAATTTAATTTTACTGATTGTGATTGGTATTTATCGGTAATGTAATATAAACCATATGAATGTGATATACTATTTTCATCCAAAAGAACAATAGATTTACAATATTGACTTTCCCCATAATCTATTGATAATTCAATGTTGGTTTGTTTTAAAATTTGAGTAGAATTTGGGTGATAAGCTGGAGAAACAAAAGTAATTTTCTGATCTGGAAATGTATAGCTGGCAAATGCTGGGATATCAAAACCAAAAGTTAAATAATCCACAATTTCATAGGAACCTGGATATACTAATTCTGATGCTGGAAAAGTTACAGTCATCTTATAGACATTTTGGGCAGCTTTTAAACCACGGAATGTATTTGAAGCTTTAATTGATTGTTGATCTAAAATGGAAATATCTACTGCTGATGCTGTGCCGGAAGTACTTGGATTAGTGGTTTGTTGTTCACCTTCAAGGGCAAAATATACATTTTCAATACTGAACTTTAAATTTGATTCTTGGTCATAGAAATTGACTGTAATGTATTGAGTTAATGTTGCCTCATATGCATTAAATGTAAATGAAATTCCTATATTACCCAAACCACCTGGTGAAAATGGAGTTATAACACCAACATACTGTCCATTAGGGTATGGTGTTCCAATTGTAAAACTTTCAACTATTAAAAAAAAAATGGAATTTTTGTTTAATATAAAAAAAGGTAAAATAAGACAAATAATTATAAAAAAAAAAAAAAAAATTATTTTGAAAATAATAATTAAATGTAATGTTTAATCTCTAGTTTAAACGCATCACTTACGAAAAATACCAGTATTTATAGATTTTACATTATTTGAATATAAAAATAAAAATAATAAAATCAAAAGCAAATTATTTATTATTTTCATTTTTATATTTATTTTATTTTTGGCTGAATAAAAAAAATGAAAAAATTTTTGATCAAAAAAAAAAAAGATATCATCAAAAAAAAATAAAAATAAAAAAATAAAAAAATAAAAAAAAAATAAATAAAATTTTTAAAATAAAATATCTTGGGAGGTTTTTTCTTTTATATTTCTTTAAAAAAATGATTAATTAATTATACACGGGGCATATTTGTGCACTGTTGTTACTTGGTTATTTTACACCTAATTAATAAATAAATAATTGAATTTTATAAATACAATTTTTTTCTCTTTTTTTTTTTTTTTTTTTAAACTTTTTTCATCGATATATTGTTTTTTGTATTGATTTTCGATTTGAATGAAAGCACTTTAGTTCTTAAATTTGTATTCTTTTTATAGGCAATTGAAAAAACTGCAATAAATAAAATAGTGGCGCCACAAACTGAAACGACAATTGCCACTGGAATGACCCATTTTCTGTTTGATTTTGTTCCTACCGGATTCCCACATTCGTCATACACAGTTTCGTCCATGTTGACATCCACCAGTACTGAAAAATCTGGGTCTAGTTCGACATAATCTTTAAAGAATGGAATATTGACTTTAACTTGAATAGTGGCTCCAAATTCCAAACCTTCGTTTGATGTTGATATTATTTGATCGTCCAATATCATATAATTTGAAAATCTACCATAGAGCTGTAATTGGTTATTTGGTATTGTTACCCAATGCATATCGGTAGATTTTTTGGCACCCCATGCAATTTGTTGTTTGATTGCACATTCTAGTTGTGAACTAGGTGTTGCTTGGTAAAACATTTCCAATTTATTGAGATTTGATGAAAATGTGTAGTTACTGGCCCTGATAGAGTATTTAATAGAGTTGGCTGGAATAACTGTAAGCTGATTTGCCCATATTCTCTCTGTAACATTTGGAATTAACTCGATAGTTACTAAAAATTTTGAACCTATAGATAACTCTGTTTCATAAATGGATACACTCTGATTACTCGATACTAAATACCACAAAGCCTGAGTTAAATTATAAACTTGAACTAGTTTACCAAAAGTATCCACCTCTTGAATATATGATATAAATATTGAATAGTCTGAAGCCTTGGTATATTGATTCATTTGCAATGATTTATTTGAAGAGTTCATATCGAATGAACCCAAATGAATTGTTGGTGATGTTTTGCTTTTATTCATTTTCATTGATAGCCCTAAATCCTTTGTAAACAAGTCACAAGCGACACCATTGTAACCTGGATTGCAATTGCATGTCATATCTGAATTACACCTTCCATTACCACTACAGTTATTTCTACATTCAAAAGTTTGATCAATTGAACAGTCCGTGCCACCCCAGCCTGAATTGCATTCACATTTAAATGTAGTTACGTTACAATTGCCATTAGCACCACTACAATCGTTTAAACAATTGTGAACAAAAATACTTAATGTTTTAATACCTTCTAACATTGTATTAATTACAATGGTATATGGCTTTTCCAAGGGACTTTTTAATACAAAATAACCATCGGTATAATTCGAACTTAGATCGTTGAAATCATCTACAAATAAATCAGTATCATTAAATTTAATTTGGTTTAAAAATTCGCCTGTAAAATATAATTTTGTGTCACCCACTGTGTATTCTATTTTTTCGATTACTGCATCTCTTGCCGCTAAAATAAAAAAATAAAAAAACAATATTAATATTTTCAATTTATTAATTATAAATTAAATTATATTTACAAGATTCTGAAAAATTAATTTTTAAAAATATTATTAAAAATATTAAAAAAAAATTATTTATTTTTATCATTCTAATCCTATTTTTTTGTATATATTAAAAAATGTATAGATAAAAATAAAAAAATATTTTTAAAGAAAAAAAAAAAAAAGTAAAAAAAAAAAATAAAAATAATTTAAAAAATAAAAAACGATTTTTGTTTTAAAATAAAATTATATTTGAGATATTTAGATTTTTTGCAATTCAAATAATCATATTTATTTTATTTTTATTATTATTTTTTTTTTTTTTTAATTTTTTTTTTTTTTGATTATTTTATTATTTGATAATTGATTAATTGATTAATTGATTAATTGATTAACTCTGACTAATAATTGTTGTAAATTAAAATTTTCTGGTAAAGATGGTAATGATTGTTTATTTGAATTTTCAGAAATAATTTTACAAAGTGTAATAGCACCATAATCACTACCAATAAGTTTTTCAATATACATTTTGAATAGTGGTCTTTCAATTTGATTATGACCATATGCAAGCGATAGCAAAACAATTGAATTATAATAGTCACTACTTTTCTTTCTCCTATTAATTGTTTCCATTATGTAGGGTGATGGCGAGCTATCTTGTTCAATATAATTTTTTTTATCTTCACTTTGCTCTTGGTTATTCATTAAATTTTTATTACAATTGTTGTGATTATTATTATTAAAACTATAATTATTGTTTTGTAATGGTTGATCTTTATTTGATATTTCTATTGGGATGTTATGATTTTTTAATAAAGCTCTATTTGTGTTTATTAATTCCTCTCCTTCGCTTTCTTCACTGTTGCAGTTACATTCTTCTTCGCTATCACTTTCAACATTAAAATAACTATTCTTTCCATTTTCATCATTTGAATCACTATCCTCACTTTCACTTGCAAATAAATCATCACCACTAAATATACTACTTCCACCGCCACTGCTGCCATTATCATTATCATTATCATCACTTAATACATCGAAAGAGCCATTTTTATTTGTTACATATCCAGTGGCAATACCACCTATTGGTGAAGATGATAAAGATAATGAGGATAGTGGTGATAATGGCGATAACGATGATAATGATAGTGATAATGAATGATCACTAACCAATGAAAATCTATTATTCTTTAACGTTGTTGTTGTTGTTGTAGTAGTTGTGGTGGTGGTGGTGGTGGTTGTGGTTTTATTTGATAATGAATTGGTTGAATAACCCAATAGATTGGATTTATTGCTGCCATTACTATTGTTACCATTGCTACTATTGTTACTATTGCTTAATGTATTATTTGGGGTACTATTGCTATTACCACCACTATTGCCATTACTACTATTATTATAAAATGGAAGTACTATATTTTTTTCATATTTTGTTTCGAAGTTTGTTTTATTTATACAATAATTTATATTACTAGTATTGGAACTGGTTCTATTTCTATTGCCTGTACTATTATTACTATTACTTGAATGGTGGTGGCTGCTGGTAATTGAAATATTATTTATTAATTTATTTAATGATGAAAACATTTTTTTTTTTTTTTGTTTTTTTTTGTTTTTTTTTGTTTTTTTTGTTTTTGTTTTTTTTTTAATTAAATTTATATAGATAAAATTAAATATATATATAAAAGATAAATTTAAAAAATATAAATAAATAAATAAATAAATAAATAAATAAATAAACAGTAACTATTAATTATTAGTTATTAGTTATTGAATGTTGAAAAAAAAAAAAAAAAATATTAAAAGAATTTTTTTAAAATATAAACATTAAAAAATATTATTTTTAAAAAAATAAAATAATTATTTTAGTAAATAATAAATAGAACAAAGTAAATACATAATCTATTTATATATATATAATATTATAAACATATACACTAAAATATACTTTATAAAAAAAATAGAAATAAAAGTATAGATGTTTTTTTTACAAAATAAAAAATAAAAAATAAAAAAAATAAAAAAAAATAAAAAAATAAATAATATTATTTATATTTTAATCACACACATAAGCGCACACACGCACCACATTATTATAAAATTGTTTTGGACAGTATTAAAATAACAAAATATTTTTTTATATTTTCGACATTTTTAATTTACTGTTTATATAACATTATAGTTATATTATATTATATTATATTATATACATATACATTTATTTAATGTATTCTATTTGTAATAATTATAAACCCACAGCAATTAATGAAGAAATAAAAAAAAAAGATATTTAAACACCACATCAACCAATAGATCAAGGTAAATTTAATTAATTGTTATTTATTATTTAGATTATTAATTTGTTTAATATATTTAAATTATATATTCCACACAAATATTACAAAAAATATGCAATCATTTTTATTGCAATCGAAGAGCAAAAAAGACGAAATTCAAAATATTTTATTTTTTTTTATTTTTTTTTTTTAAAATTTTTTTTTTTTTAAAATTTTTTTTTAAAATTTTTTTTTGCATAATTATTGTTTAAAATTATTATTAATTAAAACTATAATCATATAAATAGAGAAAATGGTAATTTATAAAACTGCAAAAATAGATTAATCATTCCACATACCCATATTCCCACACCTCACCCACCCACACACCCACTCACACACTATACATTTAAATAAACACAATATTAATTTATAATTATTATTTTATATTTTAATAGTCATCAATTAAATCATTCAAACCATTATTCGATCGTGTTTTAATTCAAAGATTAAGAAACTCTGAAGTTAAAACTACCGGTGGTATTTTCATTCCAGATAAAGTTGGTAACAAAACTAATGAAGCTGTTGTCATCGAAGTTGGTACTGGTAGACGTACTGGTAATGGTTTCGCTGTCCCACTTTTAAAGAAAGGTGATCGTGTTTTAGTTAATGAATCACCAATTGGTGAAAGAATTAAAGTCAATGGCGTTGATTGCGAAATCCTTTCAGAAAATGATATTCTTGGTTTCATGGAAAACTAAAAAATAGGGTCAATAAAAAAAAAAATAATAAATATAAAAAACAAACAATCAATCCTCTCATAAAATAATAATAGTAACAATAATAATGATAATAATATAATATCAACATATAATAATAATAGTAATCACATCTATTAATACGCATTTTAAATATATAATAGAATTTGAAATTTCTATTTTATTTTTATTTATTATTTATTATTGTTAAAAAAAGATGTAAATAAAAACCAATTTAAAAAAAAAAAAAAGAAAAATATATGTATGTTTGACAAATTCTTTTATAAATTTAATTTTAATATAACACATTTTATAAAGATATTATTTGATTTGGTCGTTTAGTTTGTTTTATTTTTTTTAAAATATTGTTTTTTTTTTTTTTTTTTTTTTTTATACAAATAAAAAAAAAATTTTAAAATACTATAGTCGTTATAGTTGTTATTATTAATGTTGTTATTATTGTTATTATTATTATTATTATTTAAAATTTAGTGAATTAAATTTAATTTTTTTAATTCTTCAATTTCTGGTGATTCTTCAGCTTTGAAGTTGGTCATGAATTCGACTTGGTTTGACATAGCTGATTTAATTTTTTCTTCTTCTGTACGTTTATCATCATCAACGAAACCATATTCGTCACCGAGAACCTTCATTTTTTCACGGTACCATCTAAGGACTTTGAAGAAATCTGAATGCATTTCAAGCATACGTTTACGTTTGGCAAGTGAGCTTGGATCTTCAGTCATATTTTTGCTGACATATTCGAGATCGGCTTCTAATTCAGAAAGGATATGAGCTCTACGTGGACTATCTTCTGGGAATTTTTTAATGGATTCAATTTGAGAAACAATGATATCTTTTTCCATTTGATGGTATTGACGAAGACGACCATCGAGTGAGGCACAGAAAAAGTCTTGACTTTCTTGAAGATTGTAAGTAATTTCATCGAGACCTTCTTTGTAAGATTTATATTCTTCTTTTCCTAATTCTGGTTTTGGTTGAACTTGGAAACCAAGATCCATCTTTAAGTGATTGACACAATAGTCATCAAGACCAGCTTCTAACCATTTAGTGACTTTAACAATACCATTTGACCAAATATGAAGTTTTCTATATTCATCAGCTTTGGTGGTGAATTTTTTTTTTAATGCTAAAAGCTTTTCTAATTCTTCGTTTAATTCGATTTCATAATCTCTACGTTTTGGATGAATTGGGAATGATTTAAAGGCTTCTAATTGAGCATTAATCATATCTTCATCAAGTGTAACTTTTTGTAATTCTTCTTCAAAAAATTCGGCTTGTTCTAATTTAGTTTTGCTACCACCTATAAAAAAAAAAATTTTAAAAAAACATTATTAAAATTTAAATATATTATACATTATATATTTATATTTAATTATTTATATATTTATATTTATTTATTTATTAATTAAAAAATGGATTATAATAATAATGATTAAAAAAAAAAATTTTAAAAAAATTAAACAAAAAATTGAAATGATTTTTTTTTTTTTTATTTGAATATTATAATAATTATTTTTAAATAAATTATATGGTAACTTACCAACATAAAAGTTAGTCATGATCTTCATAACTCTACGAAGTTTTTTGTACTCTTGGACTGTTGGAGTATCATTAATGTAATCGATATCATCTTCTGGGAGGATTCCGTGCATTTTTTTTTTATTTGTTCGATTTTATTTATATAACAAATTAAACGAAATTATTTGTACTTATATTAAAATAAAATTTAAAAAATGAAATAAAATTTATTTACAAAATTTATAAAAAAAAAAAAAAATAAAAAAAAAAAAAATAAAAAATTATAAAAAATAAAAAAAAACGAAAAAAACAATTTTATAGAAAATTATTATACTTTAATTTTTTTTTTTTATTTTTTATTTTTTCGTTTTTTTTGATAAATTTTATTATTTTTTTTTTTTTTTACTTTCTATTTAAACCGTTAATTACGTGTAATCGTTGTTTGTTATTGTTGTAGTATTTGTTTAAGCAATCACCAACACTTTTTGCATCAACATCACCATCAGCATCAACATCAGCACCATCAAATTTTTATTTTTTTTATTTTTTTTCATATGATCCAACAGTTGCAGATATTTTTAAAATTAGAGTCTTTTTGTAAATAATCATTCCACTCAACCCAAACACCTAATTATTATCAGTATATAAATATTATTATAAAGTAATAAAATCAATATTCAAATATATATTCATATAAAAAGATGTCGATACTATTTAAATCAAATTCAAAAACCATTGTTTATAAGAATCAAATTTATAATTGCTTAAAGTATTATTATAGTACAGATGTAGCAAGAACTAACTCAATCAATGTTAATTTTGAAGATACAGAAGAATATAAAATGTTAATCAAAGAGGATCCAGATTTAGCAGCACCAAAACAAACACCTCGTGGAGCAGCGTTTCAAAAGAGATTTATGGAAAAATCTATAATTGAAAAAGCTAAAAAATTACCAGACACCTCATCACCTTTATCAGATATGACAAAAAGAGCCCAATATGAAATGTTAATGAGAAGCAGTCAAAAACAAATTATTGGTAAAGGAAAGAAACATCTTTACGAATTTAATACAAGTCCAATTGACCCATATGAATTTTTTTCAAAAGTACCTTTTTTATTACCAGCAGCACGTCAATTACTTGATCGTATGGGTTTATGCGGTCATTTACATAATGTTTTACAAACCATAGAATATTTAGATGTAAGTAATCCATTTATTAAAACTATTTTTTTGTTATTTTATATTAATTTTAATATCTATTTTTTAGCAAAAATTACCATCGTTGGATGTAGTTACATATTCAACTATTTTATCAGCATTAGCAAATTGTAAAGATATCGATAATTCTTTATTGATTTTTAAAAGATTATTAAATGAAGGTATTTTCCCCAATAATCATATATTCAATTCATTAATAAGAGTACATATGGATAATGGTTTAGTTGATGAGTCCATAACGATATTAAAGTCAATGGAGGAGTCTTATGGAATAAAACCAGATCATGTCAATTATACATCAATAATTCATGGTTGTGTAAATAATAAAAAATATGATATGGGTCTTCAAATATTTTCAGAAGCAAGAAATAAAGGTATGGAACCAGATTCAGTCACCTTAACAGTTTTAATCAATGCATGTGCAAAGAACAATCGTGTAGAAAAGGCATTTGCTTTTTATGATGAATTTAGCTATTTAAATTTAAAACCAACCGAAGTTACATTCAACTCCCTTATCAGTGCATGTGCAAAACGTTCAGATGATTACTATTATTTAAGAGCATTCGAATTACTTCAAGAAATGGACGTCAATGGATTTAAACCAGATATTATTACCTATACATCACTATTAAATGCAGCTTCAAGAAGAGGTGAAATACCAGTAGTAGAAAAAATTTTTAATGAACTTTTACATAATCGTGAGGATTTTAAACAAAAACCAGACGAAAGAGTATTTAATTCAGTTTTAATGGCATATGCAAATAATCAAATCGATGAAATGAAAACTCCAACTAAAGCAGGTTTAAAAACAAATATCGAGAAGGCAAATAAAGTATTTAATCAAATCGAAAAAAGAAAACTCACTGTAACACACCACTCTTTAGATTCATTATTACGTGTTTATGCCAATGCCAATCGTTTGGCTTTAGCAAAAGAACTTTTCGATACAAAATATAGTCAATATAAAGTCAAACCATCAATATCATCATATTGTATTTTAATTACAATGCTTATGAAAAATAAAAGATTTGAAGAAGGTTTAAGTATTTTTGAGAAAATGAAGAATGATGGTATTGAACCAGATTATAAAATTTATTTGTAAGTATTTTTTTTTTTATATTTTAAAATAAATAATCATTTTATTAATAAAACTTTTTTTAAATTTAATAGGGAAATTTTACATGGTACAACTAAATTTGGTTATGCTAAAACTTGTTTGAAATTTGTTAAAGAAATGGCACAGAAAGGTATGCCACCAATTTTAAATGATATTAAAGGTATTTTAAAAAGATATGAAGCCTATCCAGAAGTCACCAACGAAATTAAATCTCTTGCTGTATATTCTGACCCAAAAACTGACCCAACAAAAACTATTTTATTTAATTTAAAATAAAAAAATAAATTAAATTTAATTAATATTAATAATAGTAAAAGTAATAAAAAAAATTTTATTATTTAAATAATAAAATTATCTTTTTTTTTTTTGATTGTAAAAAAATTTTATATAAAGTTTATTGCATATATCTTCATTTTATTAATGGAAGTTCAAAATAAAAATAATTACAATGATATCTTTTTTTAAACAAAAATAAAAAAAACGAATGAGTCACATCACATGGTGGTGATTTTTTTATTTTTTTTAATTTTTTTTTATTTTTTTTTTTTTTTCCAAAGGTTTCTAAAAAATCAAAAATAATTTTTTTTTTTTTTTTAAAAATACAATTTATTCGTTTTAGATAAATATATACATATAAATAATGTTATCAAGACTTAGCGTTAAATCAGTTTTTGCTACTAGAACTTTATCAAGAGCTTTTTGCACCCGTTTCAGTCGTGATCACGAATGGTGCACTGTTTCAGAAAACAACATTGCTACCTTTGGTATCACTAAACATGCTCAAGAAGAATTAGGTGAAATTGTGTATGTATAGATTTTATGTTATGGTCAAAACTATCTTTATTGCTTTAATAATAATTAACATATTTTATATATTTATTCATATTTAGTTTTGTTGATTTCCAAACTAAAGTTGGTGAAAGTGTTGAAGCTAAAACTTCAGCTGCTTCAGTTGAATCAGTTAAAGCTGTTTCAGATGTTTATGCTCCAATCAGTGGTAAATTAGTCGAATTCAACAATGAACTCGAATCAAACTTAGATCTCATCAATGAAGAACCACAAGCTAATGGTTGGTTATTCAAACTCCAATTAGAAAACAAAAACGAATTCAATCAATTAATGAACCAAACTGAATACGAAAAATTCTGTCAAGAAGAACATCATTAAAATAATAATAATAATAATAATAATAATAATAATAATAATAATAATAATAATAATAATAATAATAATAATAATAATAATAATAATAATAACAAAGCGCAATTACGAATACACATAGTATAAATAATTTTATAAAAAATAAAATAAAAATAATATATTGTACATATAAATAAATATAATTCTATATATAAAGGTTGGTTTTATCACAAGCGAGATATTGGATTTTTTATTTTCATATTATAAAACCTACAATATTAGCTTTGAAAGTATCACAAGATAATTTTTTTTTTTTTGACAATATGCCCATATTAAAATATCTAAAGATGATTAGATTTGTAATTTGGTAAATTTTTTTTTTTTTTATATTTTTTTTTTTTTTTTTTTCAAAATCTCATAAAAATTTTCACCAAAAAAAAAAAAACCCTTTCTAAAATTTTTTTTTTTTTTTAAATTTTTTATAAGTTATAAACACCATTTTTTATAATATTTATATTCCACACTTAAATTTATTTTTTATTTATTTATTACAATGTTATCAAGATTAAATTTATCAAGAGTTATTTTAGCAAATAAATCTTTATTTTTCAATGGCGTTTCAAGAAACTATTGCACCAGATACACTGATGATCACGAATGGGTTAAATTAGAAGGTAACCAAGGCACTTTAGGTATTACAAATTTTGCTCAAAAACAATTAGGTGATATTGTTTTTGTTGAATTACCAAATATAAGAAAACATGAAGCTGGAGAACCAATTTGTGTTATTGAATCAGTAAAAGCAGCATCTGATGTTTTTTCACCATTTGAAATCAATGTAACAGAAGGTAATATGGAGTTAACTCAAGAGCCAGAGTTAGTTAATTCAGGTAATTATTTTATATATAATTCTATTAAATTCTAATTTAATACTAATAAATAAATTTTTATAAAATCAGAACCATATGCAAGCTGGATTATCAAATTCACAACTAATGATACTGATGGTTTCAAAAAATTATTGACATTGGCCGAATATGAAAAATTAATTGGGGAAAAAGAAGACACCAGTAATTAAATAATAATAATATAATAAAAAAATAAAAAATAAACAATTAGCCTTTTTATTTTAATAAATTTTTAATAATAAAAACACATCTTTTTTTTTTAATTTTTTTTCGAAATAAATTAAATTTTTTATTGAATATATCATTCTATAAAATTTTTATATATAATACAATGATATCAATAACAAAATTAAAAAATATTACTAAAAATATTATTTTATTCAATAACTATTGTACAACAGTTAGATACACGGATCACCACCAATGGTATTGTTTTTACACAACTAAAATTATTTAATAATATATAAACTTTTAACTTTTTTTTATTTTTTAAATAGGGTTACACTAGAGGGTGATAAGGGAAGTATTGGGATCAGTAGTGTTGCAGATCAAAGATTGGGTGAGGTAATATATGTAGAGTTGCCTTCTGTTGGGGAAAAGTTTAAAACAAACCAACCTATAGGTACAATTCAGTCAGGTAAAGATGTTTGGGAAATTATTTCTCCAATGAATGTTGTTGTAGAAAATGTAAATACCAATTTGAAAGCAGCCCCGGAGACACTAAGTGTGGACAGTAAGATATTTTTTATATGTATATATATATAGTTTTATTTAATAAAAATAATAATAATTTTTATTACAATTTAGCTCCTTTATTTTCTTTTAAATCAAGTGACTATGAAACCTTTGATAATCTAATGACTAAAGAAGAGTATGAAGTATATGTAAGAAACGAAAATAAAAAAAAATAAAATTTAAAAATTCAATTCAATAAATTTAAAAAAATTTAAAAAGTTTATTTAATATGCTTTTTTAATTGGATCTCTTTTTGAAATTTATTTAGTTCTTTTGGTCATTTCATCATATTCTTTTTTTGATAAAAGTTTCTTATTATCTTTATCGTTGCTTTTTGTTTCAATAATGGCAAGCCAACCAGTATTTTCGCAATCATTGTTAACTAATTCTGGTTGTTCTATTACTTTTTCATTAATTTTGGTGACAGTACCAGAGATTGGGTTCATGAACTTAACCATAAATTGGTCACTTGAAACTACATATAAAAGGTCATCGTTCTTATAGTTTTGGCCTACTCTTGGAGTATAGACGGTGTTGATTTTTCCTTTAAGTTGTTTTCTTCCATGGTCTGTAATACCAACAGTTGCTTTGTTATCTTTGTCGCTCCATTCTACCCATTGGTGATCTGATGTATAAACTCTATTCTTTCCACCAGTACTGAATGATCTTATAGCTAAATTTATTGTTTTAAAATTATATTTATACATTTTATATTTATTGAAATAAAAAAAGTAAAGAGTAATAAGTAAATGAAAAAAAAAATAATATTAATACCCCCAAACAAAAACAAAAAAAAAAAAAAAAAAATAAAAAAAAATAATTAAAAAATTAAATTAAAAATTAAATTAATAAAAAAATTAATTATTATAATAATTAAATAATTTTTTTTTTAATAGAAAATTAAAAATCAATGAATTTTATATTTTATTTATTGAAATGATATGATATAGATTTTATTGAACTTTATTTTTAATATAAATAGAAATCATAAAAATAAACTTTCAAATAAAATCATAAAAATGATAAATTTAAAAAAAAAAAAAAAAAAAAAAAAAAAAAAAAAAAAAAAATGAAAAAAAAAAAAAAAAAAAAAGAAAATATGTAGACTATCCTCCAGAATATAAATTTTTATTATTTTTATATTACTTATTATTATTTCCCCAAAAGAGTAAGTATATTTTTTAAAGAAAGAAATTATAGTGGGGGTTTTTAAAATTTTTTTAAAATTAAGGAATATGTGGTTATAATTTTTTATAACCAAAGAAATAAACTTGTGAAATAAATTTCTGTGTTTTATTTTATTATAAACAAGGTTTTTTTTTTGAGTATTAAAGATATTAGCAAGTATTATAAATAATAGTCTTTATTAAATAAGATGGATGAAAATAATAACGAAAAGAAATTTGGTATAAATAGTTTTTTAAAAATTATTATTTTTCATTCAATTAAAAAATATATTAATAAAACAAACAAAAAACTAAAAAAATAAATAAATTATAAATAACTATAAATTTTTATAAAAATGATTAAAAAAACAATTTTAAGTTTATTAGCTTTAGGGGGATTGGCATTTAGTAATGCATTACCAAGTGGTCCAATAAGTGGTGTTGCATCTTATTATAACGATGCAGGTACTGGTGCTTGTGGAACTCCAATCAATGCAAGAACTGATATGATTGTTGCTATTCCTACATCATATTGGACCAATCCTTCAAATCCAAATGCTGATCCATTGTGTAATTCTAGAATTAGAGTAACACATAACGGTAGATCTGTTGAGCTTGCTGTAGTTGATAAATGCCCAACATGTGGTCCAAATAAAATTGATATTAGTGAATCAGCATTTATTAAACTTGATGGTAGTACCACTAGAGGAATAATTGACATCACTTGGGAATTTCTTGGAGCTGACAATAGAGGACCATCACCAAGTACTTCAGGCACCTCAGGAACTATTGGTACATCAACTGATGGCAAATGCTTTAGACAAGTAACTGTTGATGCAGGTCAAGGTTGTTGGGATGTTTGGACTTCAAAATGTAATAACAAATGGAACGAAGATCAATTCTATCAAACAAATCCAGGTGTAAGGTGTGATGCTCTTAATATCGGTCAACCATTATGTTGCAGTGGTGTAGGTGGTAGTACTTTGCCATCTCCAAGTACTTCAGGCACTTCAGGAACTATTGGTACATCAACTGATGGCAAATGCTTCAGAGAAGTAACTGTTGATGCAGGTCAAGGTTGTTGGGATGTTTGGACTTCAAAATGCAATAACAAATGGAACGAAGATCAATTCTATCAAACAAATCCAGGTGTAAAGTGTGGTGCTCTTAATATCGGTCAACCATTATGTTGCAGTGGTGTAGGTGGTAGTTCATTACCATCTCCAAGTACTTCAGGCACCTTAAGTACTTCAGGCACTATTGGCTCATCAACAGGTAAGTGTTCAAAATATGTAACTGTTGATGCTGGTCAAGGTTGTTGGGATGTTTGGACTTTAAAATGTAATAACAAATGGAATGAGGAACTATTCTTCAATTTAAATTCAGGTACCCAATGCACTTCTCTTAGAATTGGTCAGTCATTATGCTGTTACTAATGCTTTTCATTGTTTCAATTATTTCCTACTTGTGTAAACTAAATCTAAATTATAAATAAAATATTTGTTAATAAAAATAAAAGAAAAAAAAAAAAATTAAAAGTAATATTTTTCTTTTTAATCAATTATCTTGTACCTTTATCATTAAAAGTAGAAATAATAGATTAAAATGTATAAAATATAAAACCTTTAATATTTTTTATGATATAATATCTCAGATTCGCCTTTTGATTTCACATACACTATGAAAATTAATATTATAAATTGGTTTATTTGGTAATATAAAAGTACTCATCTATCTTTGAGCTTTAACGAATAATAGTTATCTATTAAATCGACCTTTATATATTATAACCCAATCTATAATAAAACATCAAAGTGTTTAATCAATTGTTAAAATCATCATTGATATTTATTTTTCTTGTTTTGATTCACAATTATCAATTTCTTTTTGACATAATTGAAACGCATCAGAAAGTACTGGAAATATAATGAATATTGATGAAAGTTCTTTATCCTAGCTAGTAGGAGAACTTCCCACCTGTTCAAGTGGAGAGGGTACCCAAGCTAGTTGGTCTGTCCACCTGTTATCAAAAGCGAAACAATTATGTCTGTAAAAGAAATAAATTATATGTGAAAGTTTAACGTGAAACAATAAATGTGAAAAAATAAAAAAATTTCAAAAAATAAATCAAAAAATTTCATTATTTTTTTATTTTTATTTTTTTATTTTTTCATTTAATATTTTAATTTATTTCTTTATTTCATCAAAAATGATTGTATTTAGATAAATTCAATGAACCATTGTAAAAACACTTAAAGTAGGCAAGAGGGGGGGAAATAAGTAATAATAAAATCAAGCATCCTATTTCAATTTTTTATTAATAAATAAATACACAAAGTTATAAATATATTTACAGAATTTTTTTTTTTTGTTTATTTGTTTATTTGTTTATTTGTTTGTTTATTTGTTTATTTGTTTGTTTATTTGTTTATTTGTTTATTTGTTTATTTGTTTATTTGTATATTTGTTTATTTAAATTTTAATTTTATTTTTTCTATATAATTTAATCTTAAAAAGAAATTTTGATATGTATGTTTATTAAATATCATTAAAGAAAAATAATAATCATAAATTGGATTCACTTTTTCTAACCTAATGATATTTTTTAAAGCTTTTGACATATCAAAGCCACACTTTAACGAGTATAAATCTGCTTCGTTTTCGAATCTTAGTTTGATTGCACTTGATAGTAACTTGAATAAAAAGTTTAAGGGGCTATAAAAATAGGAGAATATTAATGTACCAACATAAATACTGTTATAAGATGCCACCGGAGAATCACCGATATTAAAGCGATTGAAACCCATGTCGACATAGACTTGGTTTGATAATAATACCGTTCTTAATAAATAAAATGAAATTAGTCTTTGAATTGTGGTAATACCGATAAATTTTAGATTGTGCTTTAGTTTATAATGAGCCAACGATTGCACCAATACAGCCAATACTTCGTCAGTTGTACAGCTTGATAGCAGATTACCACAAATTACCAAACTTTTCTTATCTAAACCACAGCAATAGATATCCACATCATCCATTGGCCCAGATGTATTGATGATGTAAATATTATCACAAAATACCGGATACCCTATTTTATTACACCAATTTATTATTATTTCTTTCATATCCCCTTCCAATGGAGTTAATTCGTTCAGTAAAGGCTCGATCTTTGAATATAATAGATCCACTATAAATGTAATAAACAATAATCCAAAAAAATCTTTTTTTTTTTTTTTTTAATAAAAGTTGTTAATACACTATTTCTTTTTTCCTTTTTTTTTTTTTATTACTTACAATAGTTATTTGAAATATTTATATTCCTGACTGTGTAAATTATAATTGATAATATTGGTGAAAAATAAATAGTTTTGATAAACAAGAAAAAATTATCAATTAAAAAATACAATAGGTTATTATTATTTTTATATTTTCTTTCTAAATAAATATTTTTATAAAATGAAAATGGTAAATTTAAAACTAATTCAATTAGTTTGAAATTTAATACAAAAATTATAGTAGCTAAAATCTTACAAAAAAAAAAATTAGTGTTTGTACTTGTAAAAAAAAAAAAAAAAAAAAATAAAAAAAAAAGACTTACCTCGTTTATGATTATATTATTTGAAGTTGAAAACTTTTTAGAAATATACCATAGGTTAGGAAATAAATAAATAATAAAAACAAGTTCAAAAATAAAATTATATATTTTTTTAACTAGATTGAAAATTCTAAACTAAAATATTAGTTTATTTTTATTTTTTTATTTTTTTATTTTTTTATTTTTTTATTTTTTTTATTTTTTTTTATTTGTTTTAATGGTATTGTACTTACACATAATTAAAAGAAAATTTCTGAGTTTTATAAAATCGTTGTTTTGATATTATACTTTCAAATTTATCATAAGAGGCGTTTGATTGTTGCTTTAATTCTCTTAGGCAAATTATAATGTAAAATAAAAAATCACAACTTTTTAAAAATACACATATAAACTTCCAATTTATTTCATGATAGTTTATTATTGAAAGTAAAAACATGTTATTTATTTTTTTAAATATTAAATTAAAAATTTGATTTTATAAGTTAATAAAAGAGGAATAATATATATATTATTATTATTAATTATAATTATTTTTTATTATTGGTTAAAAAAAATTACATATGCACACATTTATCATTACTAAATATATTACAATAGTTTTAATTTTAAAAAATTAAAAAAATAAAAAAAAACAAAAAATAAAAATAAATAATAATTATAATTTATTAAAATTTAAAAAAAAAAAGAAAAAAGAAAAAAAAGCAAAAAAACAAAAAAAGGGGGGGTTTAGGGGGAAACAGATTTCCTTTTTTAATAGGGGGAAGGGGGTTTTTTATTTTTTATATAAACCGGGGGAAACCCCTTTATTTTAATTTTTTTTTTTTTTTTTTAATTTTTTTTAATTTTTTTTTTAATTTAAAAATATTTTTAAATTTTTACCTTTTTAAAAACTAAATCTTATTTGTCCATTTTTGAAAATTTGGTTTTGATGAATTTAGATTATCTATCAAAAAAAATAAAATAAAAAATAATAATTACAATGAGATTTCAATCCCAATTTTTTGTTTTTGGAAAAGTTAAGGTATAAATTAAAAAAAAAATAATAAATATGCAATACTAAAAAGTTTTTAATAAAATTTTAAAAATTATCTTAAATAAAATATTGAAAATTATTATATAAATATAGAAATATAAATATGGAAATAAATAAACCCCTTCTATAAATAAAAAATATATATTTATTATTTTTTTTTTTTATTTTATAAAATTATTAAAAATAAATTATTATTGTTCATTGGCTTTTTTTATTATATTATTTTATTGAAACAAAACTATTTTGAGTCACCATTTATTATGTTTTTTAATTCGTCAAATACTATTATTTTTTCTAAAAGTTTACCTTTTTCTTTACCTCTTTTGAGTTCTTCAGATTCTATTTTTTTCCAATTTTCGTAATTTATGATTTTATGATTTGGTTGTAAATAAGAAACAACAGAGTCGTAACCTTTGGCAGTGTCTGATAAGGGAATTAAATTGTTTTCATAGTCGTAGTGAATTGTTGAGGCTGTTTCTTCGCTGTTTGCTGAAATATTCGGGATACTACCTGATGGTCCACCTTTAATCCATCCACTAACATATAAGCCTTGAATAAATGTATCTGATTGAGGCGCTTCTAAAACTTTACCAAACTTGTTTGGAATTGAAACAGTGTTGAAATCAAATGGTACGCTTGGGAATTGCTTGGTTCCTGTGTATCCTATCGATCTAAAGATTGATCCACATTCTAATGTTTCATATTCACCCAATCCAACTGCTTTGGTACCATCCATTATGAGTTTATTCTTTTCTAATTTGATAGATCCAATTTTTTCATTGTTATTGACATCTCCAAACATCTCTGCTGGTGATCTTAAAAAGTGGAATATTAAATTCATATTGCCATTTGACGCTGTTTCTTGATTATACTCCTTTAAATGTTGCTTAAATAAATCGTATGTTCTTTTTTTAGCTCTTTCTAATTTTGAAACCTGTTCCTCTGTAATACTATCGAGTATACTTTTATCATTAATAAATGTGTTGACATTTGGTAATGTTAAAATTTCTCTAATTTCTTTATTGGTAAATGAAACTTCTAATGGTCCTCTTCTACCAATAATATGAATCTAATAATAAAATATTAGTCCTATATTCCATGAATGATATGAAAGAAATTTTAGATCTACATACATTTTTAACTTTAGATTTATTAATTTTATCAAATGAATTTGATGTTATATCTGTCTTTTTTAATTCTTCAGAATTCTTTTTTAATAATAATCTTGCAACATCCAATGCTACATTACCTTGACCTACAATAGCAACATTTTCACTTGATAAATCAAATTCTTTGTGTTGATCTTTAAGGTTACCATTTAACCAACCTAAAAATTCTCTTGCAAAGTAAACATTCTTTAAACTTGATTCACCTGGTATTCCTAATTTTTTATCACCTTCAATGCCACATGCCAATACAACTGCATGAAAACTATCTTTAACATATTGAAATTTAATATCTTTTTCAATATCAACATTCCCAATAAATTGAATTAAATTTGGATGCTCTAAAAAAACTTTTTCTAGTGTATTTTTAACTTTTTTTTCATTTTGGTGGTCTGGGGAAATACCAGATCTAACTAAACCAAATGGATATGGTAATCTAATTAATAAGTAAAAATGATAAAATTTGTTAATATTTGTTTTGTAGGTAATATATTTAAAATAAAAATTACTTTTCTAATATTGTAATATTTGCGTGTGGAATTTGTTTATGAACTTTGGCTGCAGTATATAAACCTGCAGGACCACTACCAATAATGCATAAATGGAAATCCTTGTTATTATTATTTATTGATCCATTTACTGTTGTTGAAGTTGATGAACAATATGATCTATAAATTATATTTTTATTGCAATAATTAAATTTATTTCCAAGTTTAATAAAATTTATTGATGGTTTTAACATTATTT